TTATATCTCAAATATGTTTAAAATCAAAAGTAAAACAAGCAAGGAAGGGCTAAGTTCGGGTATAACAGAAGATTTTATACTCTCGCAACTTGCAAGGGTCAAAGGCGGTTAAATACAATCAGGTGTTGGTATTGGTAATATTAAAAAAATGGAACGAAAGGGTTCAACTTCATTCTTGGAAGCCATCGTGAATGGATTACAATCAAATTTGGTATCTTATTTTGAAGGTCATAGCCTCCTTAGTTTTATTACTATAATTTAAATCGCCTCAGTAAAAATTATACTAAAATCATGGGGGGCAGAGAATTGGAAGGGCTGATTGCATCAATTTTTGACATTGCTCAGGTATACTTGAGAACTTAATTTCAAGCTATTTAATAAATATTATAAATAATATTAATAATAAATGAATTTTATTATAATAAAAATCAAAATTGCGAATATAAGTTATATGGGGCAAGTTTTTGCCCGTTTTGGCGCAAACACGCTTTCTGAATTGCATTAACCACTAAGGTACTAAGGAAAGTATTCATCCGATTCAACCCATTTTTGATACAAGTTTATATTATTATCAAAGAAACATTTTCCTCGAACTTCAATAATATATCTCACAAATTGACCGATATTTTCGACAAAATGTCAGTCATACGCACTGGGGTCCACATATTTAGCGTCTGGGTTCTTGAATAGTTATGACCCGACTTCGAAAATTTTTGGGCTTAAGATGAAATACTTTGAGGGCACTATTTGTGCAAAGTTTAATCCTTATACATTGATTGGTTCTTGATGTGTATACTGGATAGTAAAAGCATCAGATGGCATTTAAAATTGTGTTATATAGGAAGTAGGCGTGGTTTTTTCTGAGTTCGCCAATTTTTACACTGTAATGTAGGAATATCATGATAATATTACGAATTTGCTTGAAATCGGTGGAATAGGTCTCGCAATATAGACTTTTACCTTAATGTGAAAGGTGCCACACCCATCGTCAAAATTTGGCATCGGCTCCTATAAAGCCCTCTTGTATCATCTCGGGTGTAAAATTGTATGTCTCCAAAGCTTTACTGATTTATCGCGCTTTTAGTAGTTTTTAAGAAAACCGTTATATGGGGAGAGGGCGGGAATAAAATCCGATTTCCAATATATCCAAATTCGGTGTTAGAGAGGACATTGTATACTTATTATCAAAATAAATGTATGTATGTATATCATTTTTTACATATGGAGATATTTTACCTGGTACAATGATTTCAAAGAATCCAGGATAAACTCTGCGACATTATCTTTTGTGTTCGAAATACTTAAAAAATTATGAATTTATTGAGATATGTCAACAAAATATAACTTAGAAAAAAAAAACCTGAAAATGTCACATGAGCAGATAAATTTTGGTATGTATTTCATAATACTTAATACTCAAAAACTGAAAATTTATCTCACTAAAAACTTCCATTGTTATTGATTTAAAATGCTGTGGCATTTACGTTTGCAGAATAAAACGAAATTATTGGTAAAATGATTCAATTAAAACGCTGATGAGCCAATTACTGTAACCAATGAGTAAATGGTGGCAGCAACAGTTTTTCACATATACATACATACATTCCATGTAATTTCCTGCTTTTCAACTTTCATAAAAGTTTCGCACGAACTTGTATTCTCTAATTGAAATTACTCCACTGTGCTGGAGCTTGTATGCAAGAAAGCTTGAATTATTGCCAAAGGACTTACGGCATAACTTTTGAATGCATAACTATGGAAATTTGCATGGAAGGTGTTGCTCATCAGTCACAAAATGCCAGAGTAGCCGTTGCGCTGCTGAGTACAAAAGAACAAACGCGGCACTCATTAAGAGCAAGAGGAAGCACTCAATGTGGTAATGAGCGGCGATGACGTTAAGTGTTGAAATTACATGCTATGGTACGTCAATATGTTCATCCATTGAAATGTTTTAATTCGCACAGTTTTTTCACCAGTCCCTGGGGAAATAATCGGAAATTTTGTAATGATAATAATAGCAAGTTAATTATGTACATTAACGAGCAAAAAATCAACACAAGGAATATATTATATTTCGAGTGAGTTTTCTTTTAAAATTGCTCTATGAAAGCAGCAAATTTGTTGATTAAGCGAATAATTTACTTCCAAAGAAAATCAGCTGTCTTAGTTCTGTACTTGCTTTAATACATATTAAGGCACCTATTATTTTATTTCTTCTTAATGCGTTATTGAATATATGCAAAAAGTTTATTGGAAAATTATGCTTGGTAACCAGAAACGACATTGCCACTTATTTTTAAATATAATATATGTAGACAAGAATAAGAGAAATGCTCATCCTAAAAAATGAGAGATTAGAAACTTTTTAATGTTGGAGTCATCAGAAAACAAAAGCATTGGAATAATTTAGATTTGCCTATGATAGTTTTTTTTTCATTATTGTACATGATAGAGTAGGACGGACAGCTGATGAGTGTGCATGATAATTATCCGATTTCATAGATATTAATCCTAAAAAGTATAATATTTCAAACAATAAAATAATAAAACTCAAATAATGGCGCCTACCATATTCGTATTGGAATCTAATATAGTTTTTGTAAAATCACACATATATGGAAAAAATAATTTACTATTCTTATATGTAATAGTAGTTAATTAAACGTTTGAAACTATTTTAAATTGAAGTTTCTTCAAAGAAGTAATCTAACATGCTCTTCAGTTCATATCTATGTACCGATACGTGCTTAACTCTATCTATTTCCATGATAGTTAAATTTTATTTACATATGTATGTATAAGTTTTCTCATATATACCTACATATGTACGTATTATAATAGTTATAATGACGAGTAACAATATTTCATCTCAGTGTATTTATGTATGTTGTCCTCTCGGCTCAGGATCGTGTGATATCACACCGTTTGAAAGTCCAAAGTCTATGCGGACAATCCCGCCTCGATCCAGACCTTGGAGCAAAACATCACGCGTGTCATTCGCCTGTTACCAGTCGAAATGCTCGAACGAGTCATCGAAAATTGGACTTAACAGATGGACCATCTGAGACGTAGCCACGGCCAACATTTGAAAGAGATAATCTTCAAAAAATAAATGCCAAAGAATGTTACCCGTTTCAGCCTTACTGCCGAGAGTAAATTTAAACTTCTTTGTGAAGTTTACCCTTATTGTAATGCTGTTCCTCGGGAGAAGAGCTAGAGATATCCATCACTTAAGGCCATCATTTGCTGGGACGAGATTACCGGTGTCAGTTCCAGCATCACTTCTAGTGCTGCCGTCCCCAATTCGATAATTGAAGTCTTACCAAAATCTTCGATGCTCATGCCACCGCTCCAAATATAACAATCGATTTCACGATCATCTACCAGATAATCTTTGGTTTGAAGCCCCAGGATTTACCGTCCAATCGTTTGCACACCATGAGTGCTTTTGTTGCTTTAACCCTGATTAGATCCACATGTGTCTTCCACCGAAGAGTACAATCTAAAGTGAGACCCAGAAATTTGGCCTGATTTGTCATCTTCAACTCTCTACAGGCAAAGCTTAGGGTCCTTTTGTTACACTTGCGTGAGACGCATTGTCAAAAGCACTTTCGAGGTCTAAAAAGGCGCATATCATCAACTCTACATTGTTCAACGAACTTTGGATTTCCGTAAGCAATAATAAAATACTTTTCTTACAGCCATTGTCAGAGCTCCACAGTACTTGAGAAATTTAGACATTCCTACGTATAAATATGGTCACAGCAAATTATTAACTGTGCAAAGGCTCACGAAGCAGAAATCAAGTAAACAAAAAAATTGCTGCTCTTCTGCAAACCGATGAGCTCTCACGTCGACTAAAGCGTGTTAAGCCTTGCGATTTTGTAGCAAATCCTAGTACCTAAATAATCTATATTCAGGATAATACATGCAATTTCTGCCAAATATAAAATGCATGTTAACCTTAAGAAAAGGTTATTCTAGTTCTAATTCCGAAGTTAATTATTTTTATTTCCTCTGCAATTTTTTTTAAGTAACGAATCTCTATAAAGAAAAAGAGCATTAATTAAAGATCTCACAAAAATTTCTACAGACACGATGACCCACATAATTAAATAAACGTTGGTTTTATGCTCAAATGAACTATGAAAACACATAGGCAAACATACATACATGTAAATTTATAATCGAATATAGATAAAAATGCATTTAAGCAAATCTTCACCAATATTTGCGAAATTGTAGAACCACCAGCAAGCGCTAAGTAAAAACGAAGCGCATAGACACAGATAAAATGTTGAAATGTTCTCATATTTTCACGGTTTGTTAAACATTGCCCAAACTGAGAAAAGATGCGTATGGTTATTGTTAAAATATACATACATACATACATTAATTGTCTAGCATTTCACTCGAGACGCTTCAGTACCCAGTTGACGGCAATCGAAGCTAACGGATATTTTGTAAGCAAGTGATGTGTACCATAGATGAAGACGCTTAGAACGAAATGAAAAGAAACAATTGTTTCAACAAATACTATAACATTTCCTATTTTAATACAAGTACACTAAATATGTAAAGTATTTATACCGCTTACAAATATCAGTTTAAATGCGACGTACAACAAAGTGAAGTAATAACACCTGATACATAATTTTTCATCAGCTACAAAGAAAACCAAAATATTGCCGGAAAGTGAGATGAGAAATTTTCTACCGAGTTGTGATATATTGAGGCTGTCGGAAATATTTTTGTCTATCTAATTGACGCTAAAATTACTTTGTAAGTCAAACAAGTAGAATTCTATAGTATATGACTTAGTCTTTACAAACAATCAAAGCAAACAGTCGTCTAATTAGCTTTGGCGCTAATCAAAAATGAATTTAACTCGTAATAGTATCCAACAGTATTTTGATATATATGCATTCGTTCTAAATTTTTTTCTTATTCATAGTTAGTGTGAAGCATGTTAAATAAGACAGGTCGTTCTCTCTTTTCAGGTTCTATTATGTTCCACGTGAGGCGGCGTCCGGCGGACTCTCAACCACGTCGGCGCAAGAAGAAACCGCTAGGTGCTTCAAATGGCGCCAACAGTATATCCAGCGATCGAGAGGGTGCAGTCCTGGTGGAAGTAACACATAGCGGGGATGGAGGACGCCGCATTAAATTAGGCAGTGACCCAATCGAGGTGAGTTTCCTAAACACCCTCAGTGTTATTTTGCTTTAAATCTTTTGTCTAAATAATATAATTTTTTTTTTTAACAGGTTGGTTCTGCAAACACGAACTCGTTGCAGCTATTTGGGCCATCGATACAAGCTCGCCATTGTCTGATTTCACTGTTGGAAGGTGTTTGCACAGTGACGCCATTGCACACCGATGCACTAACCTTTGTCAATGGGCACCACATAACGCAACCCACAATTTTGCATGTGAGTATAACTTTAAGGTACAATTTGTTATATTGTACGAGAATAGTTGCACTCGACTATATGCTATAGCAGTCCGACCTGAACATTTTCTTCGCAGATTGTAGCGTTGCCTTCAATAGTAATCTATGCCGAATTTCGGAAAGATATCTCTACAAATAAAAAAGTTTTCCATGCAAGAACTTGATTTTAATCTATCACTTATATAGCAAATTACATAGGGGTGTATTAAGTATAGTACATTTAAATAAATATAGTTCATTCAAGAAGTTTTTTTTTCAAGAATAAACTATCTTCACTGTTTTTAATTCTTTATTAAAGTAAGTAAAGAAATGCAATCGGGATATACTGTGTATGGGATAGTTTTTTGATTTCTACATCTGTCTGGCTTTCCTTTTAATAACTGTATAAACCCAAACCATTGCACTAAGAAATACCTCGATTGTTCTATAAAATCAAATCTACATATAAGATACTATCTATAGAATAAAATTTTCTTTCGACATGTTTTTAATATTGATGTTACTTCGTAAATTCTTCTGAATTTAAAATAAAATTGTTATCCGCGGCGGTGGGTTGACCTCCAAAAACGTTAGTTGACCGTAGATCCGCCACAGGGTTAGTATTTTAATCTTCCTTTTGTTTTTTAAGAATTTCATTGAACGTGATCACATACATATGTATGTAGATATGCCTTTGTCTTGATTTTAGTTAAAAAGGTGACGTGTAAATCGTGCTAATTCCTTTGAATTTTTGCTTCATTTGTGTTAGAAAGTAAATTTTTGATGCTTTGAAGATTTAAAATTAAAAAGACAAACAAACATCGGCAAACATATGAAAACTTAGTCGCATGTTATAAAACAAAGCATCAGCAATTGCTTGCAATTATGCATATGTGTGTTTGAGAGCGTGTGCATAGGTAGCGGACTGTTTTATACAAATTAAAAAGTTAATTATGTGGACCAATTTACAGATTTGTAAAAAACGTATATATAAAAGGGGCGTTTATTAGCTAGTTTCATTAATGTCTACAAATGTGTGTGTGACATGCATCACAATGTGTGCTTATTTATGCGCGGCTGTGTATTTCAATAAGTCTGTGGGCCAGCAACAACAATCGTATTTAAATTATGCTTATTCGATTCCGTTTTGTGCTCTGCTTTGCTTTTGTTGACCTGTCGAATTGTTGATGCAACATCACGAGCGACTGGCGTTCTCGATGATGTGAGCTTAAACGCCCCTTATTTAGTCTGAAATGTGAATTGGTGAATAGCGGAAGCTGTGCGCCATGCAGCCTTTCTCATATTTGAATGTAATTAATTTCTCCGCTTAGCATTTAACCTATTATTTTCAATAATAGGCACCTTAAGAAAGTATTTTATTGAAATTATTTATTATTGTTGCTATTGTTTTTCATTTAGAACGGCTCTGTCGTAATGTTTGGACGCGTGGCCTCATATAGATTTGTGGATTCACCAACCGATGGACGCTACAACCTCGCTTTGTCACAATCACAGCTGGACTCAGCCTGTCTTTACGAAAGGTTAGTATTTTGCTCTTTTTACACTTTGTAAAATGTTTTATGTGAATTCATTATTGATGTTTAATGTTGTGTGCATTACTTGATCTTTTAATGAACTTTGTAAGCCTACGAATAATCGCTTTAATTAGTTCTACTTTCATATGTTGTTTCATCAGATTTATCTTATATGGTTTTAACTTATTTGTGATACCTTTGAAACATATTTTTTGTATTTTTTTATTTTTTTATTTGTTTTCCCACTAAATCTGTACGACCTCGCACATTCTTTTTAATATCAACTCCCACTTCACTCAATCATTTAAATTAACACACACACATACATATAAAACTCGCTGGTAAAAAATGGTTCGAACAAACACCAAACGACGCCAACAACAAATGTACAACAATTACGATTCACAGTCGCTCACCAACTTCGCCTGGCTCCTGGAACGATGAAGACGGCGCTTTAAACTCAGTAAGTATGCAAGAATGAAACTCAAAATGCGAAATATGAAATGAAAATTTTTTTCCGTATCATTTAGGCAAGCAAGAACGAAAGTGGTGGCACCAGCAACAATAGCGGAAATGGCAGCGGAGGTGGAGGTATGAGCGTCACAGAGCAGTCGTTGGGTATACGTGATCAAGAGGAAAACAAGATGCGCTCAGCTGACCATCTCAGTCACGCTGGCAGCGCGGCCTTCGACGGCCAAAGTATTGAGGGAAACTTGGAAAATGAAACCAAATCCATTTCAAGCTTAAAGTCGGGCGGCTCTAATAGCCAGGAACGGTAACTTGATTACTAGCTATTTTTAATAAGTTTAAGATAAAAGCTTTTCAATTGGTTTTTTTTTTCAAATTTCGTAATAGCCAGCAAATACGGAGTTTATTCAAGAAAAAAAGCTGAAATCGACAGTATTCGAATTTTCATGAGGCATAAAAATAAACATATCCATGCATTCTTTTTTCCAATCAGTAACAGCTAAATTTACTTTTAATATATATTTTTGTTTTGTTTTTAAAATTGTGACCTTTTTCTTTAAAACTAAAGTGCTAAAACCACATTCGTTGCCAAATCATAGTTTTAATATACAATCATTTAGTTTAAATAAAATGTAAATGCATTCTACAACAACATGAAGTTTAATTTTTGTAATTATATATTCTCTCCACAGATCGCCGAAAATTACCAGTGGTTCGGAAAATCAAGGCCAGGAGGCAATTCTGCCCGCAGTCTTGGAATTTCCTGAAACACATCAGGAATTATTCCTTAGACACATTATAAGCGACTTGGATGTGAATGCGCCGCATTTCAAGCTGGCTCCAGTGTACTCTCTGTATTTATGTGCCAGGTAAAACAGTACTTACTTTTTAAGAATTTTACAATTTTCTGCATGACTTGACTTTTGAGGGGCACTAATATTAAATGGGCTTCTGTGTGTACTGTTTGTGCCCAGTAAATGTGTAGTATTTTAGATTTATTCGCATTTATGTGCTTTCAATTCAGTATTCGCTTAAATTTACTACTTCGTTTGAGTTCACGAAAACCTTATAGGGATTTACAGTGCATTCAGCACAGGCCATAAAAGAGAGTTTCCAGAATATTATCAAGCCTCTTAAATAACTGTAAGTAATAGTATCGATACCTAAAATAGAATGCGAGAGACTTTTTGCTCATTAATAATGCCGAAGTTGAAATGCCTTTTAGAAACCTTCAGCATTATATTGGAATCAAAGAATCAAACTGTGCTATCAGTGTTATATCTCAAGTTATATAAATGTAGAAATAAACTTGTAATTAACGATTTATTATATCTTTAGGTATCGCGCATCAACTCATTATCGCCCCGAACTGCAGCCCACAGAACGTGCCCACAAATTAACAATATTTCTGCATCATGTTGCCAATTTGATTTACAACGTTGTACAAGAACAATATTCCGATCCACGCATTCTGGCTTTTTGGATGGCCAATAGTTCGGAGTTCTTGCATTTCCTAAAGTCGGATCGTCATATTAGTGCGTTTAGCGTTCAAGCTCAAGAAGTACTCGCCGAGAGCGTGCAAACTGCGTTTCGAAATTTGGTAAATTGTTTTCGTTTGGAATTGTCACAGACCTTGAATCAGTTTCTCTCGGAAACAATCGATCACGACTCGGCTGCGGGACTAGTACTGACTGTACTGGGGTCCGCAATGGCTTTGCTGCGCCGTTGTCGTGTCAATGCTGCACTAACGATTCAACTTTTCAGCCAGCTTTTCCATTACATCAACGTGATTTGCTTTAATACGGTGAGCAATGAAAGTTTGTTGACCCCATTTTTATTTATTATAAATTAAAACATGTGGAATTATTTTAACTAAGTATTCCCGTTGACTAATTAATATCGGTATGTTTTATGTGCTTTCAGATTGTAGCCAACTCGCACATGTGCACTGCGGAATGGGGGAAGGTTATGTCGGAACGGCTCCAACTTTTGGAGTTATGGGCTGAACGCCAAGGACTTGAACTGGCGGCCGATTGTCATCTGGCAAAGATAAACCAGTGCGCACAGTTTCTCCAAGCCCCCAAATCGTCTGTCGAGGAGATACAGCAGCTGGCTTGTTCCTGCTTCCGTTTGAACTCTTTGCAAATGTCCGCATTGCTGCAGCAAGAGAAGATACCACGAAATTTAGTGGACACTGCAATAAGAATGGCCGAGTCGGTGGCGGACGAGCTTACTCGTTCGGATGGTCGGGAGGTGCGTTTGGAAGAATCACCAGAATTGCATTTAGCTTTGCTGTTACCCGATGATGGCTTTAGTTGTGATGTTGTACGTGGTATTCCGTCCGGTTTAGTGGATTTTTTAAATCCATTACAACAGCAAGGCATGTGCCGGTTGGCTGCGCAGCCAACTTCAATTGGTTTGTGGACTGTCTACATGCACCAATTTAATGTAAGTTTTCCATAAATCAGTAAGACTTATTTATGTCACTGCTTAATCTTTTTGGTGTAACTATCTTTAGGCCCGTTCTTCAAGCGCCATGTCTAATAAATTGCCGCAACCTGAGGTTCAGGTAATAAAGCTGCACAAGAACGCCAACGGCATGGGTTTATCAATAGTCGCAGCAAAAGGCGCAGGCCAGGAGCGTTTAGGCATATATATCAAGAGTGTGGTGCCTGGCGGTGCGGCAGATGCCGACGGTCGTTTGCAAGCTGGGGATCAGCTCTTACGCGTTGACGGCCAGAGCCTGATAGGCATAACTCAAGAGAAGTATGGATATTATTTATAAGTTATAATCTCGTTTTTAATCATTGTATTTTCCAGAGCGGCTGACTACCTGGTTCGCACTGGTCCTATAGTCACTTTGGAGGTAGCCAAACAAGGAGCCATTTATCACGGCTTAGCCACTTTACTACAACAACCAAGCCCGGTCATAGCGCGCGGTAAGTCCATGAGCTGCACTTCATGCTTATATGCTTATAATTAGGCATAAGTTAGAGGTATACATATAGTTGCGTGGCTTATAATATCCGTAATATTAATGAAGTGAGTTAGTTATTTGCTATGAAATCAGTTATAAACACACGCTAGTAATGCGTAAATTCGCTATAACGTTACTCAATAACAATGAATGCTAATGGCTTTTTTACTAAACTACTCCCTTACATGCTGCCAATTAAAAAAAAAATAATAATTTTTGCAACATTTCAACAAAATTAATAATGTCTAACCTAACAAACTATAAAACTAATCAGAGCCGGCAAATACGGCTTCCACGGCGGCGTACCATGACCAACGACGCCATTCGATGTACAATAATCGCTACTTTGCTTCGGCTTCCGACGACAGTCTTAACCGCAGTCGACGAGAATCTTTAGTTTACGTGCGTTCATCATCCCCACCCATGCGCCGCTTGAGCGCATCCTCGCTGCAGGAGGAACTTTGTGCTAGAGGTCATCAACTACACATCGACCCACGTTATCGCGACACGCGCCCGATTGCACGATCGGTCAGCAGCCTTTATCTCTCTAATGAGAATAATTTGAACAACGTCCAAAATAGCAATAATTACTTTCACAACAGTCCAGTGCGTCAGCGCAACAATAGTACACTGAACACCAACACACCGCCGCCATCAATATATATAGAGGAGTATACGGATCCTGATCCAGATCCAGAAAACACCCAAAAACGATCCTCCACCGATTCATTCGCAAACTTATCCTATACTGAGGCTCATCAACCGCTTAATGAAGACGGCATAGCTTCAGTAGCCGATTCAGATGACATTCCATTTATAGATGACGGCTCACCCACGGAAGATGTGCCCACTTATGTACCAGCTCAAAAAGAAATTCAACAATCGCAGCTACTACAACGTCTTGAACGGATACCGAAACCACCGCCTGGTATAATAAGTAATGTACGGCGCAATGCTCCTGGTTACCGCAAGACCGTAAGTTTCGATTTGGAAGAGACGAAAGTACGGAGACGTGACAGCATTTCGTTAGATCGTGGACCGGGCATCAACCGCAAATTCCACACGCACGACGCCATAAGTAAACTCGCGCGTGCTAGTATCGATAGTAATCGTGCGTCTTCTGAGTCGTTGGACAAAATCGAGCGAGAGCGTATACCGTTAATACAAAAAATAAGACGAGAACTGAACTCGCATCGTTCAACCTCAGGTAGCATAGCAACCAGCACTAACTCCGGCAGCGGCTCCAACAGCAACCGCTCTTCAAATGAGTCTGTTGAAAAAATTCCATTGATAACTAAACCTATTCATGATTTAAACATAAGTAGTGCAACCACAATACGACCTAAGCGAGAATTAAATACCATTCGTGCCACCTCTGGTGGCGGATTCAGCGGTAACCAACAGCGCACCAACATAAGCAAAAGGTCTGCTCCACTGCATAATCCCACCAATCTTGTAAATATCACAAACACTTCTGTTTCAAATTCTAAGCCCGTTTCTGTTTCCCGCACTTGTGATATACCATCGCATCTAAGAGCGGGCGGTAATCCAACGACAGCAGCCAAAACCAACACAGTTGTTACTATAAAAGTTCCTAGTGTATGTGAAATTGAAAGTTCCTCTGAAACTGTCCATAACTACTGTCCAGCGCGTTCACATAGCCATGCAAACATACATTTCCCAAACTGTCTAGACCACACCGATACGGATACAACCGCAACATGCCATACACACACCACTACACTTACCGTTTCTCAAGGTCGTCAGTTGCATTCCCCAAAGAAAGAGGTGGATCACCTACACCGATTTAATAAACCGTTTGGAGAGGGGAAAGTGCGTGAAATGACTGCATTTTTCGAACGTAACCAAACATTTGATGCCACTGGACATCCCAGAGATACCTGTTCGGGTTTGTCAAACGCTTTTTCGAAATCAGCATCATATTTATATCCACCCAAAGCTGCTACATCGCCAAGCAAAACGAAGAACCTTACCAAACAGGAACAATTTGACATTTTACAGCAACTAAAGGAATGGAGTTTGCATGGCAGTAGTGGCAAAGATTACCAAATAAACTTACAAGATAGTTATTTTCGAAATACTTTTGAAAACGAAACCAAACAACGAATAACCGAAAATGTTAATATTAATACTCAAAACAACTCAGAATCTAATGCACCTACAAAAGTAATTTCTACACCAACGTTACTAACACCAGAATCAGAGCTATCCATTAGTACCATTTTTACCTGTGATTGTCCTTGTTGTGCCAATTGTAAGAAAAAAATCGTTTTAAATAGCTCAGACCCTAACAAAACCACCCCAGAAAATGCCAAATCAACAATAGGCCAAACGACACCTTCTTTTAAATGCTACGACAGTTGTCCCAAAACCACGCAAAGCCAGCTGAAGCGGCAGCACAGCGTTATGTCCACTGCGAAGGGTAACACAGTGCGTACGGTGAAGCGTAATCAAAAAGAGCATCGGAATTCCGATGGAACAAAGCTCTCTTTAATGTTGACTTTGAAAGCAGGTAAAAGCAGCGCTGCCACTTCATCGACATCTGCGACAACTGAATACACAGATTGTCCACATACATCGACAGTACCAAATGAAGAGTTATCCGAAGGCGAAGTTGATGATGCAGCCGTTGAAAGCTGACCATTTGACGACTAAAGGTGGTGAAAGACAATGACATGTTAGAAAAGTAGTTTTTGCTTTCGTACATACCAAATGTATGCCTATTTGAAAAATAATCCCAAACATATTTTGATTATAATTTTTTACATAATTCTAGTTAGATCGTTGTTTAAGCGTGTACAGATACAATTAAAGTTTTTAAGTACTGAATAAAAAAAATTTGTATTAGTAACACTCAGATTGGCATCCCGTTGGTATAGATACCAATATACCTACACTCTATAGAAGTTTCTTGATAATATTTTGATTGATTTGTAGGATTTGTAGGACTTAACTATTATTATAATTTTGTCGTCTTTTAATTCGTAATGTGAGTAAAAATGTTTTAGACGGACGTACATGAATGACTGGCTCAAATAAAAAACAAACCAACCCTAATATGACACTTTTCAATATCCGTGCATACAATATTGATTTAAACCGCAATTTATTTCCCCTGTTGTGTGTTTTTATTTGTGTAAATTCTTTCTTGTATTTATTTATTTCGAAATGCCACGTTTGCACAACTTTGTTATGTCACATGCATATAACTGTAAACGCACCTCTCATGCTTTTGTACAACTATTTGCAAATTTCAAAATCTTAATAATCCATTTGCTTCCTTTTCATATCTAATATTCGCCCATAACAACATCCGCATAACACACCACTCCATGCACCACCAAAATCGTAAATTATAAATGGTTGTTTACTTAATTGGTTCCGATACATGCTCGCTGCTGTGGCGCTTGCCCCTAATAAAACCGTCATGTAATTGTTGTGTGGAATGTGCATTATAACCTCGCTGTCGTCGTCGGCTCAATCATACGGCTGATGCAATAACAGGTAACCGCCGCATGTCTGAACGTGACCTTTCAAGAATGGGCGTAACTGATTCCAAAAATGTTGGCCCTCTCATACCTAATAACCATTTATCAAATAGTAAATCAGTACCAGCACTACACCATCACACCGGAAGTGGTACTATTTGTAAGTCAAATTTAACACATTTATCTTTTTTTTAACTATAAAATAAAAATACTAACTATTTGAAAAATTTTCCGAATAACAATTATACCATATATATACATTATTAATCATAGTTACAAAATTCTAAAATTCGCTTGCATTTAATATGTTTTCTTTGTTATTTAGCCATGAATGCTTCGAAATCACGCAGCACCCACAGCCTCATTACCAATCCCAATACCAACAGCAATCTCACTGGCGGCGTCAACAGTCTAAACAACAACGAGCAGGGCTTCTATCAGAACTTAAGCGTTTACCGTGCCCAAAATCAAAGTCAACCGATTTTAGCCGAAAGGTGAGACCTCCCAATTCAACCGCAAACACAATCTCAGTAGAATTTTAAAACAAAAATAAAATCTTAATACAAGAATTACAACTTGATTTAAATTTTTTCGGTCGCGTTTTGATATAAGATCACCGATTTTAAGATGTGTTTCAAAAAGGCTCGAAAAATAACGAAATTTTACCGCAGCACCGAAACGGTTCAAAGGTTGCGGATCTGCTATTCCATAATTATGTAATATGTATAATGTTCTTGTACAGCTTGTATACAATGCTACTAATATTCTGTTCAATGTTGCACATATGTATGTACATACTTTTATATAAATACACGTACTACATAATTTGTATATACGCAACACTGCTTGAAATGTAAGGAAGTCAACTAACAGAGAGTTTTAAAGTCCTGGCTTGATTAGTAAAGAAACATTTCATTGCATTACATGTTCCCACAATATTTTATGCACAAAATAGACCGTAAGTGAAAGCACTTAAGCGTAGTAGGTTGATTTTACTCACTAAGTTATCCGGATAAGGACTAATAATAGCCATCTTCTATTTTGATCTCTTATCAAAATGTTACATGAGAAACCAGCAGCAAAGTTATTAAGTTTTACTATTGTGATGGTCTCAACAAATTATTTTGCAAAATGTAAATACAATTATTTCATTTTATTTAATTTAAGAACTTTAAACTTGAAATACATTACAACGTAAAGCACAGACAAACTCTATTTAAGTTTCTCTTATTGTCCAATGACCTAAATTGATTGAACAATTTAGATGCTATTACCAATGATTCCTTTCCCATGACTGCCAGATCTTCATAACTAACATGAACACAGAGTGACATCCCTAGCAACATCCTCAAATTTATTTGGGGAATGTTTTCTGTCGGTTGTAAAAACTAAGTAAATCGAAGTAATGCTTCTTCCATTTCCTTATTATTGAATCGGTTTGACAAAAGGAGATTACCGCCCTTCCTAACACTTTTCAGGGTGCCATATCTTTCCTTTCTTGAAAAAATACACAGCAAACGGCATAAAATCTTGGTTATTGGAGCAATTAATTTAAGGGTTAGTCAGAATAGTAATTAGTAATGGACCTCTGAGGTTCGAATGCGTATTTATTTATATTCTTGCTGCTGTATATTTATAGATGTAATTGCATTAGGAAAATTATTAACCGTTTTTATGCACAAGGTGATGTTACGTTATTTTTCAATTTCGGTGACGATATAGTCTTTACAGTTTACAATAAGCTTTTTGTAATATAATATTTTGATTTGCTTCAATTTCTATCTCGTTCAGACCGTCAATGTCGCTTCATTCCGCAATGAGCACACACAATGGAAACTCCTCCAACAACGGACCAAATCCAATACTGTCACCAACAAATGGAACCGCATCAATGCACCACCCAGCATTTACATCGCAACAACAACAGCAACTGCATCACTTATCAATAACTTCCCCAACAGGGTCTAACAACATGCCACCTTCCCGTCCAGCATCCGCATATTATCACAATGCCAACACAGTGCCATCAACAAACAACAATCAACTGCAACAGAGCTTGGCAGCACAACAGCAACAGCAATTTATGCAGCACACACACAACATAAGTGCAAGCAGCAGCAATTTAAATAGTGGTAACATGACAGCGGCCACCCTTCAGCAGTACCAGCAGCAGCAGCAGCAACAACTACAACAACAACAGCATTTATCACAAATGGCGCCACACTCCTCATTGACGATGGGAAACCGATCGAGAAGCACACAAAATTTCAATCGGGATATGCAAAATCAGCATAGTCTGCGTATGCAACAAATGATGGCACCGTCAATGCCAAACATTAGTGGTTTATACCAGCAACAACACATGTCAGCCAGTCAGAGCATGCAAAATGTAAATATGAGCGGAGTGGAAACGGGTATGGCGTATCAAAATGGGGCCGGAGCTGATACTTATATGCAACAACCGCATCAACAACAACAACAGCAGCACTCGCCAGCTGGTCAAACACTTCGTCGCAACCCACGGCACGAGTTAATGTCGCAGTCAGGCGTTGAAATTGCGCAACATTCGTCCAACCCAATGCAACAGCAAAACTTTGTATCGCTGCCGCCGAAACCGGGTAGCATACAGCAAGTGTCCCCGATGAAGCAACAGCAGCAGGCCCAACAACTGCCTCCCACAGCACCGAAACCACACCCAAATCGCTTACAACAGCAACAATACATGCAGCACCAACTACAACAACAACAGCAACAAGCACATCAGCAACACCCTCCGATGTATCAGCAGAGCCTTGAGGATAAACCTCCACTGCCGCCAACAGCTACACATCCACTTTTCAAACCCACGCAGCAAATAACACCGGGCATGAATTACGTCGCCAGCTCCATAGATCCACCCAAAGGTGGTTATGTGCCAGTGTCGTCGACAGTAGCGGCACAAAACCAAAAAAATTTCATCGGTACCAATCCGTGGGAACGTGAGGAGCGCGAAAAGGAGGTTGAAATTCGACGGGAGCATATACGTCAGTGGCGAGAGCAACAAATAGCCGAACTTTCGTCCTTGCCACAAAGAACACCGCAACAAGAAGAACAGTTGAAGACATCAATTCTGGAACGTGATTTTGAAAGACGCGCACAGGAGGTGGAAGAGCATGAAGATGAATCTGAAACCTCGTATGAAAAAGAAAATATACAGGAAGGTTACCGCCTACAAACAAGCTCTTTACAAAATCCGCTGACGAATTTCAGACAAACAGATATAAAAAATACAACCCTTTCCGACAATGTAGGAGGAGGTTCTAACAGCGCCTCCGGATCTTTGGACGCATCGCCATTGTCATCAGCGCGCAATTCAGCAGCTGGCGGATCTGATTTAGCACCGGTTCCACAACAACAACAGCCACCACCTCTGCCGAACAATCCACCGCCACCGGTTGGAGCCAATGCGACAACTGTGGTGCAACCTAAAAGCATTCTGAAGAACAACCGTTATGATAGCGGTAGCGGTACGGCACCATCATCGCCATCTAAATCGCAAAAATCAACGAGTTTTGCAGATGATAGACATTTGCAAACTGAACACCCCATTTCAAGTTTGGCCAAGGACCTTTCGCAATTGTCAATAAATAGCCTAGGCTCCACTGGCGGCCTCGCATCCACCACGGGTACTGGTACCTCTCCACCGCATAATGCCAGTGTAGACAATTCAGCAGTTCCACCGCCTCCACCACCTGAACGCAACAGCTCGTATCTTATAATGTCACAACAAAAATTGCGCAACTCTTCCATCGGACTTCTAAAGACCGCTACAAGCAATTCCGCTGATTTGCTCAATCAGAATCAGAATCAAAGCTTGGTGAAGAAAGCTAATATGCTGAATAACAATGCTATCATAAATAATAACAATAACAACAACAACAACATCTTGAATACGCCCACATCAGCAGCAGCGGCGGTGAACAGCAACAATATGACACAAATGTCCACGCCGGAACTGTCGCCATCTGGCTACCTGAGCAGCAGCAGTAGTAGCAATATGTTGTTGCGGGATAACAAACGCGTTTCATTTCATGACGAGGAGAACAACTACATGGGAGGCTCACAGTTGTATGCAGCAAGCGGCACAGGGTCGTCTGCCGATATGTACGCCGCAAATGTCGACAACCAAATGCCTCTAGATCTGGATGCCATACTCGAGGATAGAAACGTAAGTGATTTAGAATCATTGACCACTCCCTGCAGTTAATCGCCCCCTAATTCGCAACTAAAATATTTTCCTTGTAGCATCGCGCGCGTATGTTCGACAACACAGTCTTAGAAACAATGCCAACTTCACCGGATTCTGTTCTCTGGAATACAACAGTGCAATCCACTCCCGGTGTTATTGGCGCACAAGAAGTGTACAGGTAAGTGCTCAAATCTAATTATATATCTAATATAGAAGGTCTAAACGGTTTCCTAATCCTACAGGGACCCCCGCCAACGACGACTTGCCGAGAAACAGCAACAACAGCAGCAACGCAATACCGAAGCTGTCCCAGAGAAATTGTCGTTCAAAGAGAAAATGAAAATGTTTGCCTTAGAATCGGGAGAGGACAACACGCCTAAAGACAAACTGAAAATCTCGCGAGCACAAAGAGACATCGATGCTGTACACTGACTAACAAGCTCCAAACACCTTCCATACACCAACAAATGTACACAACACTAGAATATGCTTAAGTAAAAGAAAACTAAAAATAACAATAAAAAAAAACGAATTTGCTAAGCAAGGCAATAATTTATAATATTATGTAATAAATAAAAACAAACGCAGAGTAAATATTTAACTGGAGACGAATGTGAAATTGAATTCCTTTTGAATGAAGAAAGAAACAGAATGTTTATTTAGTTTTAGTTGTTTACCTTGTACACAACAAACATTTAGTAGTGCATACGTATATAATAAGAAATTATAATTATTATTGTGCATTAAGTGAAATGTAAAGTATTTTAATTGCATAGTGGATACTAAGAAAACGTTATTTCAATAATTTTCCGTATGCGTAGTTTATTATCGATAAAGTATGAAATGAAAAATGAATTCACCTACAAAGTTTTATTGAAAATAGGCAATATCCCGTACCACGTACAAATGTATATTCGGTTCGAAACTGAAGCAGTAAACTCAAGCGTACTATTTTTATAACTAAATTTATTAAAAGAAATCATTGTCTTATTATACACCGTACATCAAGCTTGCGTAAATGTGAGTAAAAATACAAACATAACTCAACATATATTTTATATCCATTATTGAAAGTGTATATTTTCGCAAGCTGAAAAACCAGAAATGAGAAAATTAGTGTAACTGTAAACGAATCTTAAACAAATACAAAAAAGGAACACGAAACGGGTTTCTTTACGATGAACTATGGCTTTAATGAAGAAATCATGAAAGAGGGAACTTATTATGAAATTTATTGATGTTAAAAAAAACACTTCTAACAACAAAAACAATATATATATATATACATATTTTAGTAATGATGTGTAGAAATCGCTATGCTAAATTGTTATATTCGAATAAGTGACTAGAAACACATATGAATTTACGGTATATAGATAAAATTGACTATGACGTGCATTCCAAACTCGTTCCCTGTTCTAAAAAGGAATAGGTATAAGGAATTTTGAAGTCAACTGCAATGCAAATCTACTTGAATATTTGGTTTATTGAAATTAAAATGTCCAAACCATTAATGTATACATTTTGTAATAAGTATTCCGGTAGTTACACGTAAGCTTGAAAAGTTCAAACATGAACACTTTATGTTAATAACATTAAAATAAATCAAAATATATAATATTTCACCTGAAATTTTATAAGCCGTTTTTGTAAAATCTTTGAATCTCTACTAATGACTAAATATTTTTGACAATGATTTGTAATTACTTTATTTTAGAATGCTATATATAATTGCATCTCTATTTACCGACTTTTACTTCCTTAGAAATTTGAAATCGCTGCACAACCGATTTTCGTCTTGGACACAGACTTAGAACTTAAAAATAATATATGCGATAAGGTATTGATTCTGTTAAGAACTAATACTAACAGAAGAATGCTGCAAATAATCGTTGTTTGTGTAGACGAGGTATTTTTTTTTTTTTTAATTTGATTGCTGCTGAAAACTACGTTTCATAAGGCTTGAAAACTGCAAAATGGATCCAAAGTGACAGTCAGTCAGTACATTAATATATTAATTTGTTTTCATTTTATATCCTCGCAAGAAATATTTCAACTACTTTTTATATTCGCTTTGATATTTCATACACTACTACTAGGAAACAAATTCAAAACTTTCAAAAAAAAAGTGGTACAACAAGAAGACCGTAAAATGCTTTAATCTTTAAATATAGAAAAATTTAGTGTTTTGAAAATTTTACATAACCTTAGAATTAAGTAAAAATATGATACTTATGTATGTACAGAATATAACTAGTTGGAGTGGTACTAAACGTACTACTGTTTCTATTCCTAAACACTAAACGTTTGTGTATGTTTAAAACTCGGGAATGTTTTAATAAAAAAGGAGAGAATTTATTAAAAGAAAAAACTAAAATTGACAAAAGTTAGACATTAACCAAAATCTCAAAATTCTGAATTGGCATATACATATACTTGTATATATATGTATGTATGTACATATTTATTAAAAACTGCACCGCAAATCGTTAACAGTTACACAAGTAAAAAACAAAAACATCTAACAAAGCAGGGGAAACGTAAATGGTTATATTTAATTAACCGACTTGAAGATGTAAAGAGAGAAAGTTGTTGAACTCGCTGATATGAAATTAATTGGCTTTAATTAATGTGTCGAAGATAATATTGCAATAACAGTAGTATGTAGTAAATGTGTCTTTATCTTTTTTGAACTGTAGTAGAAACATACAAAACTGAAGTATCTTGAAAAACTAATTATTAACACTATGCACATTGTTAAGAAAAATATCCTGGAATAAAGTGTTCTAGCTTAATTTTAAAGGCATAACTAACAACTTAAATGTTTTCTTACTAACCTATACACTCTTAATAATTATTTTAATTAAACTAATTATAACTAAACTAAAAAACTAATATTCATATAAATTTGGCTACAAAAAGGGGAGCTTAAGCCACTGGAAAAAAGTTGCTATGCACCATTTGTTTTCACCACCAATAAAGCACCAAACTTCAAATTACTAAATACTGGAGTCTTTGAATCAGCCGAATCATGTTAAGTAAAAATAAATATTTACTTCTTAATTGCCTACTCAGTTCAAACTTCGCATTCAACTTTCTACTTTGGATTTGCAGGAATTCATTTCATCAAGTATATTATAACGAAAACTCTAAGTGAAAATTCCTAAGGAACCGAATACTAACAAATGACATTATCATGGAGATGTCACAATGTGTAAAAAATATTAGAAAAGATAAATGTGCAAAAAATTACACCCAAAAACATTTGGAAGAGGCTTATTGCTTAGAATGCAGTTATTGCTTAGAACAACATTTATTTCTAGATCTCGCATGTATTTTCAAATTTGTGCAGATAGCAGATAATGGTTTGAACAAAAAACGAAACAAAAAAACCGTTATACCATTATTGTTATTTTTTTGTTTCAAATTCGTTCCACTGTAAATATGAGGATGTAGACAGCGGTTGTCGTCAGCCTATTGGGTAACAACAATAAAGTTGACATATGAGCTAGAGCATAAGTGCAATCACTGCTTCATGACCAAAAATATTTTCTCTTGATCCATTAGCCTAACTTTCTTCGTCAATAGGATAGAAGGAGCTAATGTCTGGCATATTTTCAAGATTAATTTTGCTTCATTACTTTTGTTTTGAACATTCTACAGTGCCACATATTCGTTTAAACGCACCAACTTAATTTTTGATCTGTTCATATTTGTTAAATTTTCAATAATTAATTGACCCCACATTTTTATTAACAACTTCAAATATACAATTTGGCAACGAGTTTCTTTAATGGCCAACTTGAGCTCTAAAACAGTCCTAGAAAGGTGTGATTGAGTTTTTGTTCATTGATTTTTCGTGATATGTACTCCCACCTTGAAAATATAACTTTCTCACCAGCTCTCTTTTTGATTCCATTGCTCACAAAATCTTAATACCAAGTGATAAAACTTAAAATTATGTTGAGTTTATTCAAAATATATGTAGCAATAGAAATGTATAACGGGAAAATGTTAAAACTTACTGGGGTCAGCCTAACGAAACTTGAAACAAGTGCGACAGTTATAGGGGCCCACGCTGTATTAATTTACGCTATAATTCTTTTTTCCTGGTGGCACCGCCAACAGCAATTTTATCGATAGAAAATTAAAATCATATGCTTTTTGTTTACATTTGTTACCAGGAACAAGTTTGAAGCCGAATTTTTTCACTGTTGGAAATTGCAATGGATAATAAAATTGACAAGGAAAGAATGTATAAAATAACTTCAAAATGTGAGGAATTATGTGAAAATGCTAAAAACCCATTGATCATGAATAATGATTGTTGGCTTTTGATTTGCGAACTACTATCGTGCCAAGATGTATTAAATCTGTCCAAAGTGTCACAATCCTATAAAAACCTTGTGCAATATCTTGTATTACCGTCGAAATTCACGACTTGGGAAATGTCATTTTCCTACCATAACATCAGTCTAGACGACTTTAAATTTATTCTAAGTTGCATTTATAAAACCGTGCGAGAACTACATATATTGTTTCTACCCGAACGGCATTTTGGGCTTTTGACTTCCTACCAATTCCTAAATGTCACTAAAATGCGTATTACGTTATCTCGTCCTATGAATGAAACAGATATCTCTAAACTAAGCAACGTTTTTCCAAATTTGCGAGAATTCTCACCACATGGAATTTGCAGCAGTAAAGCAATAGAATTATTCACAAATTTGGAACATTTGACACTAACATGCTGCAGAAAGTTTACTAAAAGTGATTTAGGTCGGATACTATTAACACTTAATTTGAAATCTTTAAAATTAGATATTTTTAAAAAAGTCTCTCATTTAAGTCGGGAAGAGTTTTTAAAATTCAGTAAAATTGAAGTCTTAACTCTTAACCGAATTGAACTGGGGCTAATTTCTGGGGTTAATTTATACTATGATCATAATTCAGTTATATTTAGCGGTCTTAAAGTATTGATAATAACAGGTAACCTTATTGAAGCAACAGAGGTCGATAAACTATTTGAAAACATTCAGTTGATTGTGCGTAGAGATGTGAGTTCTATAGAGATCGCCAACGTTTCAGAGGACTTCCTTAATACATATTTAAATCCAGAAAAGTACGACTTTTTGAACCAAGTCAATGTTCTAAAATTTATAAATATCACAATTTTAAACAATGTGATTGGTATGCCTAGCAAGTATAAGGATCTTAGAGAGCTTTATTTTTTCTATTGCCATGCACCAATGAATTTGGATATTTTAAGCATTATATCGAATAGTCAGAAATTAGATGTAATAAGTTTTGAAGAATGCGATATCCCCCCTATTGTTATAAGCAAAGCCTTCATAAACTCTTTAGGTATTCGTAAAAATGCAATCGTATTGAATTGGTGTTCCAAAGAAAAGGTATCTGTTAAAACATCAATGCTCTTCGTACTGTAATATCTAATTATTTCGCTTACACTTACAGAATCCTGATGTATATTGCTATAATGAGTATCGGAATTTGATAAAATTAACAAATGTCTCATATATTTCCAGTAACTTTGACTCCATGACAATAAAATTTAGATAATTTATGCATACTTATATAACTTGACGAAGATAGCTGTGAACTATATAAAACGTAGTTTTATAAGGTGGTCTTAATTTATATTATTTTAATATATTTGTTAATATAATATTCTAAGAAAGTATTACACAAAAGTTTAAAATACATTTGGAATGATAATCATGGTGTTAATATAAATATGCAACATCTTTCTGGTTTTGCTAATTTCAAATGAATAATTAAAATATTGTAATCGGTTTCATATGGTTTCAACTTGTTCATTTATATTTATAGTCCTGCTTTACAAAATAAAGTCATTAATTTTACTTATACATCTACAATATATGTGCCTAGGTATTATTATATTGTTAAAGTTTAAATGACACAAAACCTTGCAATTGCTTTATATTAGTGTAATGGTGCAACTTTTCTGATACCAAAACTTTGTCTGCGATACATAAATACTGTGGATAGAAAATGACGTTTAAATGCTCTTCATTACGCAAGTCTAATTCCTTTGGAATATTCTCTGAAACTGCCCAGTCTAACAGATGTTTTTCCAATATCCATTTAGATGCCACATCTCGGTAGTAGTTCTCTCGAAGTATATCAACTTTTTGAAGTTTTTCCAGATATTTCAAAGATTTATCGTGATATTTTTGAGAGTCTATAGCTCGCATCAGTAAGGCAGATGTTAGCAATGTCCACTTACTATCTGGCTCGTATTCTAACAAACTTTCGCACGACTCTAGTTGCGTCTGTAACTCTTTTAAAACACTTTCCGTAAATGTAAAAGACTGGTTTGGTGGTTTGAAAAAGTATACACTCTGGTTGTACGTCTTTAAATTAATTTTTTTTACATTGATGTCAGTAATGTGGAATTCCAAAAAATATCGATCGTTAATATCTAATATTTTATCAGCGTTAAGGTAGGAAAACCATGTAGTATCTGATTTAGTACCGTTAATAGATTTCCAATTTGCAATTTTCTTCTTAATTTTTCCGTTGGAATCAGTTATTACCACATCTTCTTTGGTTAAAATAATTGGATTAGTGAATGATAGGACTGCACGGTTACTATCGCACCGAAAAGCACATACATCTAATTCCTGTCGGGAGTAACCTAATAACCATCTTTGATAAAACCAAGCACTACTATCATTTGGATCTGTAAATGCGGCCGTAAGTACCATTTCCAGTTCTTCTTTCAGTTTTTCTTCATTCATTGCTTGCTTTGGTTGCGCATTACCTTCATAAGGATACAATTGTGGTAACAATAAACTGCGATGATGCCACGAAGAGTAATTTGAGAAATTTGCTTTTATTTTTTCTGTGCAAAAATCCAGCTCATTTTGTCTAGATATGCATGCTTTTTCAACCACGTAGCGACGATAATCCCAAGTGTGAAAATTTCGCTCATCCATTTTCAAATATTTATTGCAAAGCAGGACTTCCCTCTCCCAATTAGCATTAGGACTGTGTTCTAATGTCCAACACCGATGGTGCCAGCCATTATACGATTTCGGATTTACTAATAAGCACTGTTCGCTAAAATTTAATTCCGTGTCGTAAATTGCTTGCCTCTGATCCCCATCATCTATATTCAATGATCTTTGTTCAACACATTCCCGTCTAATGTTCCACAATGTTGATACATCTGGATTTCTAAGTAGTATTTGCGAAGTAAGTGTCAACATTTCGTCATCCAGTTGTTGTAAACGACGTTTCTCCTGTATTTTTCCCATCGCGGCTCGATAAGCTTTCACCTTAAGTGTTTGCTCTTTTTTCTTACGCTCGCGTTCCTCTTCAGTTGTGCGAACTTTCAGTCTTCCGTGCATGTTGGAATGGATGTTATGTTACTTATTTTACATGAAATAGGAATTTTAGCCAATTCACTGAATCACTGATGCTGATAAAATAATATCAACTCCTGCAAACAGCAATCAGGTGATTACATCTTTTAATCGCAGAATAATCGACTAACCAATGTTGCCAGATGGTAATACACAAATACATTTGTCAAAAGTGAATGCCCATTGATGATTCACTCGGACAGCACGTAAGGTTCTACGTACTTTTATTCTGGTATTAAGAGCAATATATTTTGTCGAGCACGGTTAAGAGAACAAAATCGAATCGTCGATATATTGCCAGAAGCAACTAGACAGCGAATTCGTTGTTGACAGAATGTTTTAGTGGCAAACTTTTGTCAAATATCTACTATGTATGAGCTGACGGATTGTGCAGCAAACACGGTTCTAGCATGGTATACCCCTTTTCGATGGTTCTAGTAAGAATGTTGGAGTGTATAGAGCAATTAAGATATAAGTAAGAAATTGTGAATTCGGATAATGAGTAGTAAAGCGTTAAGTTGTTTGGATTAGGAATACAGATAAGTGTATAGCAATTAAATTGGTACTTTTATTTAACAATCCTGTGAGCGAATTCAAGAGTGAGTTCCAAGGTAGACGATTTATCGAGAAATCCATAACAATATAGATATATTCAATTGTCATGAATTTAAATAGGCATTTAGATTCTTACAATCACGTTCATGTATATATGTATCATGTATCAGAACACAAACCCCATACACACTACAGGTTGGTTGAAAAGTTTCTGCGCTGGAAATGAAAAAATGTTTGTTACGAAATATATTTATACTCTCGCAACATGATGCTACAGAGTATAATAGTTTTGTTCACCTAACGGTTGTTTGTATCACCTAAAACTAATCGAGTTAGATATAAGGATTATGTATATATAAATGATCAGGATGAAGATATGAGTTGAAATCCGGGTGACTGTCTGTCCCTCCGTCCGTCCGTCTGTGAAAGCTGTAACTTGAGTACAAATAAAGATATCTTTATGAAACTTGGTACAGTAGACGGTTAGTATTGCAGATGGGCGTAATCGGACCACTGCCACGCCTACAAAACACCATTAATCAAAAACGAATACATTGCCATAAATAAGCTCCACAATAAGATACAAGACTGTTATTTGGTATACAGGATCACATTAAGGAGGGACATCTGTTTTTTTTTTTTAAAGTGGCCGTGGTCTCGCCAATAGGTCTAACGTGCATATCTCCTAAGCCGCTTAAGCTATAATAACCAACTTCACTGAAAACAAATTTTTTTAGCACTTCTATCGAAAGTGTGAAAAGGGGTAAAATCGGGAGGCAACTCCGCCCACTTCCCATATAACGGTACTGTTAAAAACAACTAAAAGCGCGATAAATCTAACACTAAACACGCCATAGACATTAAATTTTATCTCTGGGATGGTATGTGATGGCTTTAAAGTAATCGCGTTCAAAATTAGACAGTGGGCATGGCACCACCCACTTTTAGGTGAAACCAATAACCCAAAAAACTGATGCCATAACCTTCTTTGCTGATCAACCAGTTTCAGTCCACTGTACTGTCCGTTCTTGTTGTAATTTAGGTGGTAGATCTATGTCTCATTCATAGTAATAAAACGACTAATTCTCCATGGAATATGTGAAGTACTCGTTCGTCTGAGATGCCTATGGCAAGACGAGCATTGGCAAATCCACGCTTAGTCAAACTTGGATCTTTACGAACAATATTATGAACTTGCTTAATGATTTCTGGTTTGGTTGCGGTTTTTGGTCATCCTTCCAATCCAATTTAATCACTGCGCAATATTAAATTTTTCCCATATTAAAAACATACTCTGACAGTCAACCTCAAATGGCTTGTAAACAAAAAATTAATTAACAGAATGACTTGATGTATAGAGTTATTTCTTGGTGAGACCAACGAATATGACTCCTACACTGACGGACATTACATGTACCACATTTTCGGCATTCAAATAGCCAGGTCCTTCTTCACCTGATCTCTTCAAAGGAGTGAAGGTTTTCTCTTCGTCTGGTTCCACCGGCGGGTACTGAATCGAATACTTTCAAAGCTGGATATTACTCCTCCATCCGAAAAAGGACCATAAATCATCCGCAAAACCTTTCTCTTGAACACTGTTAATGCCGAATCGTCAGATGTTGTCATTGTCCACGCCACCGCACCATATAGAGGTACGGGAATGATGAGGGACTTTTATAGTTTGATCTTTGTTCGTCGAGAGAGGACTTTGCTTTTCAATTGCCTACTCAGTCCGAATAAGCACCTGTTGACAAAAGTGACTCTGCGTTGGAATACAAGGCTGACATTGTTTTTGGTGTTAATGCTAGTTTCAAGATAGACGAAATTATCTGTATAACGACTTCGAATTTGACCGTCCGGAGATATTTCGTCTTATCCTCGTTCACAACCAGACTCAAACGCTTCGCTTTCTTATGCAGTCTAAAAAAATAAGACCTAAAAATCTTATAGAAAACTGTTCTTCCTCTATTTAGCTCAGCAGCTCGTATTATTTTCTCCAGCAATAGATTGAAGAAGTCACACGATAGGGAGTCTCCTTGTCTGAAGTCTCTCTTGGTAACACACGCTCGGAGAAGTCCTTCCCGATCCTGACAGAGCTTCTGGTGTTGCTCACCGTCAGTTTACACAGCCGTAATAGTTTTGCGGGGATGCCAAATTCAAACATAGTGGCATAGAGGCAGCTCCTTTTCGTGCTGTCGAAGGCGGCTATAAAATCGACGAAAAAGGCGTATGTGTCGATCTTTTCTTCACGGGTCTTTTCCAAGATTTACCGCATGGTGAATATCACTTTACTCCGATCCTTCAGTTAATATGGCAGCTACATGCTATAGTCATCCGATCTATACAATTTCTTTTGATATTGCATTATGGCCTTAAATAATAATCCATGAAAAAAAATTATTATGAAAATACCAAGTCAAATGAAAAAGTTTTCCATGCAAGCACTTTACTCCGATCGTTCAGTTTGCATGCCGGCTATATGCTATAGTGGTCCGATAGCGGCTGCTCCGAAATGAGCAGCTTCTTAGTGAGAAAAGGACAGGTGCAAAATTTCAGATCGATAACTTAAAAGCTGATGGAATAGTTTGCATATACAAGTATACAGACGGACGGACATGTCTAAATCAACTCAGCTCATCATGCTGATTATTTATGTATATATTTTATAGGGTGTCCGACGTTGCCTTCTGGGTGTTATAAACTTCGTGGCAAACTTAATATACCCTTTTTAAACTATAAAAAATAACGCGACGAAACTATCGTAATCTCTAATTGAATCAGTCTTGCATCCAAATTATCTATGTACTTTTGGTATAAGATACCCCAGTACCATTGGATTGTAAAAAACAAGTTTCCGGATTGCCCATCTTTCGTACACATGAAAGGAAAATAATCAGAATATCACTAGTTTTGTAATCAAGAATGTCTAGTGACTCATACTATTACGGAAGAGATTAGGAGTCTGCGCCCCAAAATTCACCTGGTTTAAGAACACTGTTGCATAAAAGGGCATCAACATACCGCCTTATGTTTGTTCCATGGGTTGAATGACCTTGTTCTCTACGTCAAATCGACTCAATAACGTACAGTAATATTTTTTATTAATTGTTTTACGATGATCGAGACAATAAATAATAATTCTTGTGTATTCCAAAAATGTTGACCTTGCCGGCCAAATATTGCTTTTAACGACTTTCACTGAGCGATAACTAATCAGCGGACTGCCGGTCGAAGTCAGGTTTGTAAGGATGTATCCATGTTTCATTCATTGTCACCTTCTAATTGAGTTTGATCAGTGATAGATCTTGTGAGTCCAACACATGTGTCTTTTTGATGACTGTTCGAAAAAAAGCGGCACCAATTGTGGGTAATAGTAACCGAAAATCAAAATAGGAAAGGATGCGTCACTCGAGAGCGATTGGATGAATGGCATGAAACTTTGTCAGTATTGTAACCTAGTTAGTGAAGGATAAATGGGGGGAGGGGAAGATTGGATCTATTCCTGCCGGGCCCGGAAGGGGATATATTTCCCATAATTCGAACTATATACCCCTTGGTTCAGTGATGCGGGACTCAAAGTTTCCAGTTGTGGCTAGCGAAATTCAGCAAAGACGGGTGAGATATTGTTTAGCACACAGCCACCCGATCCGCTTAGAGATCCCGTCATCATTCCAACACTGCATACTTTAAATACGCATCATATGTTACAGTGTGTTCTTTAAATTTACATATAGTTTTTTCGTTTCTTTTCGCTGAAAAAGAGGGTTTTCCACTGTCCATATGAATAGATGTATGTATGTGTGTTTATGTAGGACTACTTATGTAAGTGCGCTTAGTGTTGCAAATGTGTCATTAGGCATGTTTCAACGTTTCATGCCCTCTTGTCATGCACAAATAATTATAATTTAATACACTTGCCGTCAAACCCTCGCCTGTTTCGCGGCTGTGAGTATGTTCCCTGCTGTGTATTTCTCCGAGCAACAATTTAGTGCGTGCGCTTATGTATGTATTTTTGCATGCGAACATGTCATCTGCACTCTGGAGAATTGTTTGCGTCCGCTTTTGTGAAACGAACGTCGTCGAGAATAGCGACGTGTGCTTGGCCTGAATTTTTAACTTCAGCCATTTGCGGACTATGGCAACGCATTGTATGGATTTTTAATGACCTCGCTCTTCTTGTTCCCCAAGCATTTTTGTTGCTTTCGTTTATTCGGTTTACAGAGTCTACAATATCTTGCATGCACCTATTTTAATTAACGGTAATTAGTAAAGTAAAGTTGACAGTTGCACAAGAAAACTATGTTCATTTGCAATAACAACAATGTTGTGAAGTATAATATTCTATACAATTCGTATTCAAGCTCCGATCGAAATGTGTGCAATTCACATTGCCTCTGCCGGCAGGCGACATGCTGACTCACCTAAATTATTTTGAAGTAGTTAAAGGCCTTCTTTGCCTATTACAAAATTTATTTGTTTGACGAAACTTTTATCTGGATCTAAAGTGAAGTCCGAAAAAGTCGTAAGATGTTATTTCCAGGAAACGGTTACCATTATATAAAAACACAATTTTTATTGTGGAGACCGATATATCGATTATAGCAATCTTCTATATTTTTGGTACCAATTTTATAATAAAAGATACATATACCTCAACATACTATTTTCATGGGCACTAAAATTCATTCCAGTGAGAATTTTATTGAGGTCTGAGAATGGGAAAGACTG